CCGAAAGTGGCAAAACTGGGCGATTGGCAGAATGCTTCCAAATTCACGGAGTTTGCTCGGGGAGGGCCCCCAATCCCCTGCATGCCTCGGTGCCTCTGCCGGAGCCCTGGAAGGGGTGTGTTGGGAAGTCGGGCAAAATCCGTCCAAAATGCCAAAACAGGCCCGAGATGCCGACCCACGGGTCACAACTCCGAAAGTGGAAAATTGGGCGGTTGAACGAATACTTCCAAATTCACCGTGTTTGCTCGTGGAGGGCCCCCGATACCCTACATGCATCGGAAACTCTGCCGGAGCCAGGGCAGGTGCCTATGGGGATGTCGAGCAAAATCTGTCCAAAATGCCAAAAATAGGCCCGACCTGCTGACACGCGGGTCACAACTCCGAAAGTGAAAAAATTTGGCGGGTGGAAGAATACTTACAAATTCACAGTGTTTGCTCGGGGAGGGCCCCCGATACCCTACATGCTTCGGAGCCTCTGCCAGAGACCTGGAAGGGGTGGCTGGGGAAGTCGAGCAAAATCTGTCCAAAATGCCAAAAATAGGCCCGAGCTGCTGACCCGCAGGTCACGACTCCGAAAGTGGAAAAATTGGGCTGGTTGAAGAATACTTCCAAATTCACAGTGTTTGCTCAGGGAGGGCCCCCAATACACTATATGCTTCGGAGCCTCTCCCGGAGCCCCGGAAAGGGAGCCTCGGGAAGTCGCGAAAAATCTGTCCAAAATGCCGAAAATAGGCACGAGATGGTGACCCGCGGGTCACGACTCCGAAAGTGGCAAAATTGGGCAGTTGGCAGAATGCTTCCAAATTCACAGAGTTTCCTCGGGGAGGGCCCCCGACAACCTGTATGGATCGGTACCTCTGCCTGAGCCCTGGAAGGGGTGTCTGGGGAAGTCGGGCAAAATCCGTCCAAAATGCCAAAAACAGGCCCGAGATGCCGACCCACGGGTCACAACTCCGAAAGTGGAAAATTGGGCGGTTGAAAGAATACTTCCAAATTCACCGTGTTTGCTCGTGGAGGGCCCCCGATACACTACATGCATCGGAATCTCTGCCGGAGCCAGGGCAGGTGCCTATGGGGATGTCGAGCAAAATCTGCCCAAAATGCCAAAAATAGGCCCGACCTGCTGACCCGCGGGTCACAACTACGAAAGTGGCAAAATTGGGCGGTTGGCAGAATGCTTCCAAATTCACAGAGTTTGCTGAGGGAGGGACCCCGATACCCTGCATGCGTCGGTGCCTCTGCCGGAGCCCTGGAAGGGGTGTATGTGGAAGGCGAGCAAAAT